GTTGGTTTGCTCCAAGAGATCCCTCACTGTTGGTGATCTTTTCTGGCCGGCCATCTGATCTTGAGCGAAGGCAGCTGTTGATGAAGGTGTGTAGTTTGTTTGAGGTGCTCTGTATCACGCGCTGGCCAAGTCTCTGATCCATCCGTATAGTAGCACCGACTTCACATTGGAGTTGAAAATCCGGATCTTATTTTTGATCCTGAGTAGTGCTGTTGATCTCCACACAGACTTAAGAATAATGAAGGGTTGTCTTGCCTTCTCGATCCTTGCTTTGATATCCCGTCAGTTCCGTCCGTCTGTAGTTGAAGCGATGCTTCCCAGGTAGGTAGGTAGGTGAAGGAGGTTGTTTCTTTCAGGTTCCTCCCATTTATGCTGGCTGATTGTTGTATGTTGTTTTTGGCGCGCGGTCTTACTCTCTTCGCCTGTGAAACTTGACTTCTCCTCCAAGGCAAGAATATGAGGTGACTCAATATAATAGGTTCGATCACTGCTGCCCCTGTAGTATTGCTTGGATCCAGTGGCGTATCATCATGAAATTAATCCTCAGATACGGAAATGTGTGTTTAGACACAATGGATGTCATCTTGGGACACCGGCTTCGGTAGCTTTGGGGACCAAGTGATATATCGCGCAAAAACTCGTAGTTTGTGCAACAAGGGTTGAGATATTTTTTATATACTGTCTAAACGTCCAGGAGTTTTAGTCACTCTTCGATATTTTGACTTAAAGCTTATTCAACAATGAAGTGTCACGAGCTACCTCCCCATAATCGTTAATGACGAAAACAGCTTTACACGCTATTTGGATTCTCCAGTCTGTGTAATCCTATAAATAATCATGGTTTTCCAGCTTCCCTAGGTGTAGTCCCGGACGTGTCGACCAGTTGGGTTGTAAGTGCCAAATGTTTCCATTAGTGCTTTTATTTTGGTCAGGGACATATACCTATCGTGCGAAGGCAGTGATGAATAGGGCTCACCATCTGGCAGAGGTTATGATAAATGCATGGCCATATAAGAAAGGTAGGCCAGGGCATTTTTCAAATAAATAGATTAAACTCCTGCGTTTTTATAGGTTGACATCAGTGTTCTCCTAGTTTCGGACGAGGTTTGTATGAATCATGTCTACATGCATGAAGAAGTTTTTGGTTCAGTTTTACTATTTGTTGAGAGACTATCACAATTCTCTACAGCTTGCCGCCTTTTTCCCTTGTAGAGTTTGTGTGATAAATGACAAATGTTTGCCCTGATAGTTTCTAGTCATTTTAACTCACTCCAGATATGGCCCATTGACTTGACCATTTGACTTCTAACCAATCGGATCTTGGGTTCAAACTCAACGTGTTTGAGCTTTAGTGCAAGTGGATAGAACAGCGTTTGCTTCCCACCCACGCATCAAGTATGCCGTCCCATAGGCGCCATCTGATACAATTTCCTTAAAATTAATCTTTACACACCGAAACCATTCACTAATGAATTGAAAACATTTATTTCCCGATACGAATTTAAAACAAGCAATAAAGGTGGTTAATAAAGTAGGATGATTTAATAATGGATTCATCAAATTTCGGTAGAACTCCTCGTCAGCTGCTCAGTACTCTACATACACGGATACACATGTATACTCTTGAAATTACATTGGGAGATATAAGACTGACAAGTAAATAAACTACATTGACAGGTTCGAATGTTTTCCAGGTCATGTTAAATAGGTAAGGGGGGAGAGAGAGTATGAGAGATCAAAATTAAGATAAATTGCATTACGCTTCAATTACATCACTTAGATAAACATTTAGTCATTAGGAATATAACGAGAATTGTAAACAGACTAATATCAATAGTAATAGTTATAATAACAATAGTAATAGTGTTGAAGTGAGTTAAGACAATCCTACTGATAAAGGATAGTTTTAAATGAATCAAGAATAATAATAGTAATAAGAAGTAGAATAATAAGTAAAACATATTGCCATGGTAGATTCAGAGTGACGACCATCTCCTTTTGTACACAGAGACCTGGTTTATAAACTCGAATTGCACAAGCCTCTGCAATTGCAAGCATCTTCTTGTTTCTTTGTCTGCTTTCTGACAATAGTGAATGACTTGACAGCGTCGATACCATGCTCATAGTCCACAAGATGTTTTGTTATTGAGGATCTTGGCACTTTGCACTCAGCTGTTTTCAACCATTTTGGCAAATACTCCATGATGCGATGAGTAACAATCGCCTTTCCGTGCACTCACTAATGACTGATTGTAGGATCGAGTTCTAGTGAGAAGACAGTCATGACAAGTAGGGTCCGTACACCAAAGACAAACAAATTCGCCAATGACATTGGTCAAAGAGATATATGTGTATATCACGAATTGGCAGAAGTTAGAATTCACGGATCCCATCTCGTTGTAACCTAAATTTTATGCGGACGACGACACAACTATCCAGTACTTCCTGGTTCCCTAAGTGATATGTCGACTCCAACGGTGATCTACTCAATGATGTCCTTAGCAGGGGAATTTCCACTTCTTTAAGAAGCACTTTCTTTGCGGTAACGTTGAGAGTAGTGTTCTCCAGTCTCCCGCTGATCTGTAGAAGTATAAACGACAAGATTCTGCACCTGACCACTTTTAAAAGCGTCAAAGAAGAACACTATCCAACTTGGATGCAGAAAGGAAGTAGTGGCCGTATAAGGAGTGCAGTTATTTAAAATCTCGTCATCAGTGGTCATTCCATCTCAACAAACGCACACTCCTTCAAAGTAATCTACAAAGTGAAGAACCATCTGCTAAAGGCAATACGTTTCCGTCTTCTTTGCATTGGGCAAGCACTAGCCATTCAGTCGGAAGGACCAGAACTATGCATACAAAAGACAATTAATTATTCAGCCACTTCTACTATCATGGTAACAATTCTGCTGATTCGACTTAACTTTTGTTAGTTTTTTCTCACTACTTAAAACTCTTTTATTTCTATAAAAATCTCAAGTAATTCCGTATTTTATTTTGGTTTCCATGTTCACCCTGAGCACAACGCTATCATTAAACTCTTCATGTGATTACGTAATTCTTCTTTAACAATCGTTCGTGACAAATCATCACTTTTGTGACTACACTCTTCTATCAACATCCACTTCCTCTAAGCGCCTTTTGTATTACGTAACTCCACCAAAAAAAACTTACTAATTTTATTTACGTTTGACAAATTTAATGTACACACACACACATACAAAACAACCATTTTTATAGTTGGATGCTAATCTCCAAGATAAGGAACCTAATTCATTCACTCTGCTTTAGGATAAGAAACATTTTGCGTTAACTCAGAAGTTGACTTCCTAAAAGCAGCCACGCTGTCAGAAAACGGTTACCCTAACCGATTTATTGACAGCAACATGAAAGATAAGCAGTCTAAACTGTCACCGAGATTCAATTCCAAAGAAAACCTTATTCATGAACTTGGAATTCAAAGGTGATCCAGTTTCAGATATGCTCAAAAATCGTCTCTCTAAATCAGTTAGTAAGACGTTCCCTGCAGCTAGATTACATATGACGTTCACAAGCCGCAAATTGTTCTCCACCTCTGTGAAAGATACACTCCCCCGTCTCGCTGCCTCCATGTGCTCCTATGAAGCAAGTTACCTTGGCCGCAGCCAGAAGATGCTTCCCATACGGATACGAGAGCATATTCAAGCAGCATAGTTTTACAAGGGAGAAAGGAAGTGTATGCGAAGCTCTATTCTAGAACACCTGATCGACTCCTGTCACTTTTATCAACCCTGACCATGATTTTAAAATCATCTACCGAATCTATGCTAACTTGCTGGCGGCGTTTTCTTCGTTATAGACTTCTAAAGACAGCGGAGGCCTTGGTGATTCATGACTTTAATCCAGACCTCTGTGTACAAAAGAAGTATATACAATCCCTACTTCTGCCTTGGCCGTGTGATTCTACAGCTGAGTGATAAATGAATTCACCGCTGGAAAGAGACTCTTCACTGAACTATGCTGAACTTCAGTTGGTGGATGGTGACTAGCAGTGGAATCCAGAATGCTTATTTCGCGCTATTTAATAATAATTGATATGACCCGTTGTACAAGAGGTGGTCAGCTCTCATCGCCCAAGTGGTCTAGTGGATAACGACGCTTTGGCATTCGAAACTATGGGCACTGGGTTAGAGCCTCGGTGGTGGGAACATCATCACTCACTCACCCAATGGAGAATGCAGGTACATCCAGCGTACACGAGTCCCAAATAGAACGTAATGCGCATCCTGACTGGATTCCACTGTGCTAGTCACCATCCATCAATTAATTAACTTCTAATTACATGCCCAGACATCGTTGTTGAAGCATCTGCACAAGAAGCTGACAGACATGTCAAAACCTGAAACTGAGCACTTCGGTGCAATCAATCGACAGGGAAATGTAAAACTGAATTCACTACTTGATATGTATCCACATATATATATTTATGTGTGTGTGTGTGTATGTTGGTCTCTCTTTCTGTTTGCTCTCTTAGTCTGTGACCATTTCACTTGTATGAACTTGTCTCCTTTAACAATGTATATTCCCCTTATATAATAATATAATATGAGTGTTTGTTGACAGTCCGTTGCTTGGTGACACATATCCATATATGGTTGTTGACATGTCTGCTATATTCGCTATGTATATATGGATCGATACTCCATTATAATTAGCCATTCAGGTTAAGACTGTCTAATGATTTTTCCCACGCTTTGTCTGAATTATTTATATATATTCGCATTCACAATTTGTGTGAACTACTTTACAACTACTTTACTTACTTATCACTTTGGTGTGAGACCATTTATTTTCGTCTCCTTGTGTTTGGACAATAGAAGTATCATCGCAAACCTAGTGGTCTTCTGATTTCCGCCTTCTTGCGTCAGGACTATTAAATTCTCGACCAGTCCATAACAATAATTTAGCGACGAGTACATAACAATTTGGCGACGGGGAAACTAGTACATAACACTACTGAACTTCTCTCTATTATTAATATATGTCAGTTAGTTTATGATCCAACTTTGAAACGATGATTATCAGGAGAGAAAATAGTCGATATGAAAGACAATCGTGTTTATTCATTTCCACTTTTATGCTATTCCATTTTTCTTATACACACTGACAAAGAAAGGATAAAAAAATTTAACAAACACCTAAGTGATCAGTGTTAAACACTTTCCCCATAAAGAAATAATAAAGAAAACCGAGTGAACATACACATGTGCGCGCGCACACACACACAATCGATGTCATCAGCTGTTATTCTTAGCACTGGACCAATTTCGAATAAACAGCGTCATTTATGTTTTGGAAAGTGTATGTGTTGCTTCGGATGTTTTTGTAGATGGATGGTGTGTCTGAACTTTCTGAGTTAGTATTGTTCACACGCAAAGTTTAACGTCATCCTCCACGTGAACAGAATCTTGAAGTTGGCCGATAAGTTGTCCCTGAATCTCCAGCTAACGGATTATAATCTGTAGGAAAGAAATCAATAATATTAATAAAAATATTGTTTTATTTATTGATCAATTTTTGCTTTCCCAATTGACAGTAAGTGCTTCAGTGGTAGAATGAATGCTCGTCCTTGTCCAAGATTCGATCCTCAACTAACGTACTACCTACCATCTAGACCTCGCCTAGCCGGTAAGAGAACCCAGTAGAGAGAGAGGCAGGGTTGGCTACATGTGAGGCTAGCGAATCCTTCCTAGCAAAAGATAAATACCCTGTAAGCGCAATATCGCTTGAAATTAAGTCACGCGTAGATGATAAAGGCTATCCCGGTCCAGAACAAACAAGATGCCGGTCACTGTTTCTACGGTACTATTAATAAACAAATCAATAATTATATATATACAACAAACCTTAACGGTTTCAAGAGTACAAAGCACAACGCTTAACAGAAAGCAAGGTACCGCTATCAGAGCGGAATAACGTTAAAGCCAAAATTGTGAACTAGCCGGAATCAGACACGACCGTTCAGGTAAGCAGTCAGTAGAAGAATGAACCCAACTAAGGCAGGGCATAGAACAGAGAGCGAATTAAGAGATAGACCGAGCATAGGCACAAAGATAGAACTTAATTGGCTACTTAACCAGGTAGGCTGATACAGATGAAGATCAATAAATAAGATAAACTCGACAGAACAGTACAAAGTAAGACATGGGTCAGCAAAAATAACAGTTCACAAAATACTCTGATTGGATCATGAGTTCAACTGTCTGACTAAACGGATCGATGTAAAAACACACACACACAGTTCATTAAACAAGGGGAGATAGACATGTTAGGCATGGATAATTGGGTTGAAACAACGTTAGGCTGATCCGGGACAGGTTGACTTGATTCAAGGATGGGAATTGAATTGATCTTACATACCCCCTGGTACTGAAATCTCATCAAAGCTTAAGGCTGGCTTCAAGCCGTATACTCCCCTCGGAACGGAAAGGAATAAAATAAAGAAGGAAAAGAATTACAAACTGGATGGATGGGTATGCTTCATCTCTGTGTTGACATGTTGGCGGCGCCCAGTATGGACCACTTTGACAATGTCTCTGAGGCTTATAACGTGTATGTATGATGTCATTTTTGTCTAATACTCACTGCCAGTGGAAAGCAGAATTTGCCTCTTTGGGACTTATCAGCTAGCAGGAATTGGTGCAGCGTTTAATTCTCTCAATAGAAAATATTATCTGTCACTCATACTACGAATGAGGGTATTCAACTTCATCATAGATGTACTAATGGACTTAACCCTAAGTGACTTCAGCGACTCAGGGATCGACTTGCTACCTGGGAATAATCTCGTTGACTTGGAATATGCAGACAATAAAGTCCTTCTAGGCGAAGACGCTGACAAAATACGGCAGAGTCTTCTAAACACCTTGAGCAGCAATCTACGAATGTTTGGCATGTGACTCACTCCCACCAAATGCAAGATGATGTTACAGGACTGGACTACATCGACGCCTAGTTTAAAAATAGGAAGTGAAGTGGTAGAGCACGTTGACCACTTCACTTATTTGGGAAGTTGCATCAGCCAGTCCCAACGGGTTGATCTCTGACGAAATCTCAGCACGAATACAGGGGGCTAGTTTTGCATTTGCCAGTTTACGCCGTCTCTGGCCTAGTAGACGTGATATCCGACTATCGACCAATGGGCGGGTGTACTGCTCATCAGTCCGCTCCGTCCTCCTTTATGGCCAGCTGTGAGACCTGGTCATTGAGAGTGGAAGACATGAAAAGACTAGCTGTCTTTGATCATAGGTCCCTGCGCTCTATTTCCCGTGTAAAGTGGCATAATAAGGCGAGCAATATTGAGGTTAGGCATCGGTCGAGTTCTAGGTAAACAGGGGAAATCAATCGACGAAGTTGGGAAGTTACAAAGACTGAGATGGTTAGGACATGTGTTAGGCATACATGTCTAGTCATCGCCTTCCTCGACGAGCAATGTTAGCGGATATAGGGTCAGGCTGGTAAAAAGCTAGCGGAGGTCAAACAAAATCACGGCCTCACCAGTCAATGAAATCTACAACAGTTAGTTTAAGCCACGTAGGAAGGTGTAGACTGGCTTCCTGGTTGGGGTCCTCGGGACGGTAAAAACCAATGGTTGAAAACAATTGGTGACATGGCTCAAAATCGTTCTGTGGCGCAGATACATCCACTCCTTGTGACTTATGATCTCCAATGAAACTGTTTTGTTCTTCGTTATTACTCCTCCTTTGTCTCACACCTCTGCTTACTGTCCCTATTATGCATTTCTTGTACTTTCTTCTGTTGCTTTGTGTGCTACATGGAGGGAGTGTGGCGACTTGAACTGGCGCACATATGTGCAAAGTTCTATGTCGAAAACAGACAGACATCATCAAGTTGACGAATCTCAAACAGGACGAAATGTGCCTGCCTCTTGGACTCCACTACACATAACTATTGTCAACCGAAATAATACTCTTTGTAGAGGAATATCACTCCTCCTCCTTCTGCTGTTTTTTATTTTTGGTAACAGCTTGATTCCACACTGTATTTTTGGTACAAGTATGGAATTTTCAGCATGGATATCGGTAGCCCAAATTTCGCAGGCCGACCACAGATATCTGGTGTGCGCCGGTGTGGGCTGGAACCCCGGACCATGTGCATGGTCGTTGAGAGTCCTAACCATTGCGCCACCGACGCTGTTACCAAAAGTGATGAGAATTTGTACAAAATGATAAAATTATTGTCACATACAAGTGATTTTATCGACCATTAAAAGAAAGAGTCTCATTTGAAAAAAGAACGTTGAATTCCACATCCATAAAATATGACCGATACAGTTGATTACCATTCACAAGGAATTCCAAAAAACAACCCCACTTCAGTAATAGAAAGTAGTGAGCACTAAACATGTTGTCTAGGTAGACAGATAATTAAACCACCTGGCGCAGAAAATACAAAATAATTGATCCTTCTAAATAAATTTGGATATGGTTTATTTGGGGGACATGGCGTATGTTGCTCAATACATCCTATTGATCAAGGTAATCTACTTAAACTCATGTAGTCAGATAAGGGAATACGAAAAGTTGTCATGTGAAGTGGTGACAACCAGAGGTGTGCGTCATGGATGACAACTAAATGTCTCTGAATTTCTCCTTAATTTCATCATACGCTTAAACATAACTGACTTCAGCGATTGAGAGATTGACTTGTTACCACCACGAAATAGTCTGGTTGATTTAGAATACGCAGATATTATAATCCTCCCTCTGAAAATGGAGCAGTCTTCTGAACACCTTGAGCAGAAACCTTCGAATGTATGACATTCGATTCACTCCTTCTGTCTATTGTAAGATGATAATGCTATAGGACTGAACTACGTCGACTCACGCGTAACTTAAAGATGGACAGAAGTGAAATGGTGACTGAGCATGTTGACCACTTTACTCATTTGGGAAGTTGCAGCAGCTCGAATGCCAGCGGGGTGATCACTGACGAAATCCCAGCACGGATATGGAAGGCTTGTTTGGCAATTCCCAATTTACGCCATCTTTGGATTAGTAGACATGATATCCCGCTGACTATCGAGCAGAGGATGTGTGTACTGCACAGTGAAAGTTCGCTCCTCTCTCTCTTTTATGGCTGTGAGTGAGACATGTTCGTTGAAAGTAGAAGACACGAAAAGTCTGGCTACCTGTCTTTGATCATAAGTGCCTGTGTTCTATCTCTTGTGTTAGATGGTATAATAATAGGGCGAGTAATATTGAGGCTAGGCTTCGATCAAGTGCTAGGTAAGGAGGGGAAATCAACAAACGAGGCTGTGAAACAGCTTCATCGATTGAGGTGGTTAGGACATGTGTTACGTATGCATGTCTAGGCACCGATCGCCTTCCTCAACAGGCAATGTTAGCTGACATAGGATTTGATCAGGTTGGAAAAGAGCTAGCTAGTGATGGTCAGATGAAAACATGGCCTCACCAGTCAATGAAGAAATCCACAACAGTTCTTTTAAGCCAGCCAGTCACGTAGGAAGGTGTAGACTGGCTTCCTCACTAGTTGGGGTCTACATTGAAACCATTCAGGACGATAATCTCAGCTACACTTACTGTATGGTTACAGATACTACCACTGACAGTCTAAACTTCATTAAGTGTCGCGGGGTTAAAACCTGTAACTCACTATCGTTCAGAAGTCGAACAACTTCATGCGTCTGACTTCCGTGGGCGAAGTCGTACTGCCGGTAAGTTCTTAATACGGGCACAACTCCACAAACCAATTCAAACAAGCCGTGCATGATCGGCGTCAAGCAATTGTCCATTGACCACCGCAGTCACATAACACTAATGCCGCTTCTGTCTCAAGTACTCCTTAAGAAATGCTTAGTTAAGTCGAGCGCCTCGACAAATGAACCCTAGCTCCACGCTACCCCATTGACCAGTGTGCGTGCGTGCGTAGGTGTGTACCCATCGTCTTATTCCTCTTGGTTACAGGATTTCATCATGAGCCATTGAAAGACCTGGGAGTAGTGAACAACTGTTCTGTCAACCTAGTTTTGGACTCCTCATCAACAGGGTTCGGAACCAGTGCCTTCCTGTTACAAGACAATTGAGATCCGATCTAATGACTAGCCAGCCCATGAATTCCAACTTCTGCCAATTCACGCACGACACAACACGATCACCAGTCAGTGTCATCGGTGAGGTGAGTACTTGTCCTTACAGCCGACCTGCTGCACCCACCCATCCCCCAGCGGTCACGACTTCCCACTAGAACCCTGAATACAGCTAGTCGCTGGTAAGCATCAAGATAGATATATTCAAGTGTTGGTAGTTTGCAGGGATTCGATTTCATTGGGCTGGAGGACAGGGTGGAACACTAAGCAGGAGTGTGTGAGGCTGAGCTGGAATTTTTAGCCACCAGCTTATATACTACTAATATTACTATTACTACTACTATCTTTCAAGATCTGATGAAATGAAAATTCTGATTTTCATGAGAAATCAATTAGCCAACTTACCATTCGGTCGTAATCGTTTCTTCTTATCATCGTCACTCTGTTAAACAAAAAAGAGAGGGATAAAAATATATACAGATATAAAACAAGTAAAACATGATTATATTATTATTATTGCTCCCTTGGGTACCTAGTGTAACATAGGGCCTCAACTGCACATCTCCCTCCACTTGCCACCTTTGTCTTCCTTCTGCTGTACTTTTCACCTCCATTCATGTTAGTCCATACTCTTTCAACTCCTCTCTCTTCACACGATCTCCTCCATGTCACCCACCCTGGCACTGACGTCCCACTCGCCGCTTCCCTTTCGGCCTGGTTCCAATCGAGCGATGGCCTGACGCGCGCGAGATCTCACCCAGCGGCCCCCTCAGCGAGCGAGTGTCCAATCCATCTCCACTTTCTCCAGCATATTTGTTGGTTGGCGATTAGTTCCTGTTTTGTTTGTTCCCAGCCATGTCTGTCTGTCTGTTTTCGACATAGAATTTTGCACAAATGTGCACCAGTTCAAGTCGCCACACTCCCTGTAGCACACAAAGCAACAGAAGAAAGTACAAGAAATGCATAATAGAGAAAGTAAGCAGAGGTGTGAGACAAAGGAGAGTAATAACGAAGAACAAAACAGTTTCATTGGAGATCATAAGTCACAAGGAGTGGATGCATCTGCGCCACTGAGAACGATTTTGAGCCATGTCACCAATTGTTTCCAACCATAGATTTTTACCGTCCCGAGGACCCCAACCTGGAAGTCTACACCTTCCTACGTGGCTTAGACCAACTGTTGTGGATTTCATTGACTGGTGCCAAGTTTTTGTTTGACCGCCGCTAGCTTTTTTCCAGCCTGACCCTATATCCGCTAACATTGCTCGTCGAGGGAGGCGATGACTTGGCATACGTAACACATGTCCTAACCATCTCAGTCTTTGTAGCTTCACGACTTCGTCGATTGATTTCCCCTGTTTACCTAGAACTCGACGCCTAACCTCAATGTTGCTCACCTTATTATGCCACTTTACACGGGAAATAGAACGCAGGCACCTATGATCAAAGACAGCTAGTCTTTTCATGTCTTCCACTCTCAGTGGCCAGGTCTCACAACCATAAAGGAGGACGGAGCGGACTGATGAGCAGTACACCCGCCCTTTGGTCGATAGTCGAACATCTCGTCTACGCCAGAGTCGGCGTAAACTAACAAATGCGAAACGAGCCCCTTGTATTCGTGCTGAGATTTCGTCAGAGATCAACCCGTTGGGGCTGATGGTACTTCCCAAATAAGTGAAGCGGTCAACGTGCTCTACCACTTCACTTCCTATTTTTAAACTAGGCGTCGATGTAGTCCAGTCCTGTAACATCATCTTGCATTTGGCGGGAGCGAATCGCATGCCAAACATTCGTAGATTGCGGCTCAAGGTGTTTAGAAGACTCTGCATTTCGTCAGCGTCTTCGCCTAGAAGGACTATATCGTCTGCATATTCCAAGTCAACGAGATTATTCCCTGGTAGCAAGTCAATCCCTGAGTCGCTGAAGTCACCTAGGGTTAAGTCCATTAACACATCTATGATGAAGTTGAATAGAAAAGGGGATAATGGGCATCCTTGACGGACACCACTGGTCGTCATCAGTTCAGATGACAGCTCGCCGTAAGCCCTCACCTGGCTGTATGAGTACGAGTAGAGTGCCTTAATCAGTGCAATATATTTTCTCGGAATTCCCTTTACAGCCAAGCATCTCCAGAGAACTTCCCGATCGACAGAGTCGAATGCTGCCTTTAGGTCAAGAAATATAATGACTGTTGGACGCCGGTAGGAATGCCTATGTTCTAGAATCTGTCGGAGGGTGAAGATATGATCAATACACCCTCTTCCTGGTCTAAAGCCTGCCTGGCTCTCTCGTGTTTGTGCTTCCCGAGCACCACTCAGTCTACGCATGATTATTGAGCCTAAGACTTTAGATACTATATTAGTCAAGCTAATCCCTCTGTGATTATCACAGGAAGACTTGTCTCCCTTCTTGTATATGGGGATAATCAGTGACTTACACCAACCCGATGGGACTTCTTCTGATTCCCAGACGCTGCCTAGTACCTCAGTTAATCCAGACAGTAAGCTGTCTCCACCGTACTTAAATACCTCTGGAGTCATTCCATCAGGTCCCGCTGCTTTGCCTAGTTTCAGATTGGTGACAGCTTTAGTAACCTCAGTTAGGGACGGAGGACCTGTGTCTATATCCCATTCAGGGAGGTGTTGGATGCTCGGAAGGTTGAGCGTGGCTGTGGGCAAATTAAACTGCTCCTCATAATGCTCTTTCCAACGATCCAGTCGTCTATCCTGGGAGCTAATTATAGTGCCATTTTTTTCCGAGATTGTCTCACTAATGATTTGTCTTCTCCCACCCGTTTCCCTGATGAGTCTAAAGAGTTGCCTGGTGTTGCCTATCCTCGAAGCTTTCTCCATCTCTTTGGCTTTTGTCACCCACCACTGTTCACGGTCCTTGCGGAGACTTTTCGTAAGTTTCCTCTTGTGCAGCTTTCGCTCCTCATTGAATTCGGAGCTCGCCGGAATAAGTCTTCTAGCATCTATCAGTTCGGATGAGGCGGTGGAGATCCAGTGGTTTTTACTCACCTTTGGGTTTACCTTATTCACAGCTTTTACAGCTGTATCTATGGCTGCCTGGATATTTTTCCAAGCTTCTTCAGGGTGAGCACAGCTGTCGAACACAGATATGTGTTTAGCTAGTTCTTCCTCAAATACGGATTTAGTTTCCTGATCGAGCTGGGGACGTGATGGTTTTACCGCCAGCTGTTTCCTACGTCCGTTCAGTCGTAAGCACACCCGAGCGCGGACCAGTGCATGGTCGGTATCTACACACGTGTTCCAGAAGGAGCGACAATCTCCTACCGACCCACGCCAACGATAGCTTATTGCTATGTGGTCTATTTGTGTCCAGCGTTGGTTTGATGAAGGGGGTCTCCAAGTCAAACAGTGTCTCTCCTTGTGTTTGAAGTTAGTGCTTACAAGAAACAAATGATTATCAGAGCAGAACTGTAGGAGACGGTCACCGTTGTCGGTTCGCTGGCACGGAACTCCATAGGTGCCACCGACATCCTTCTCAGATTGACACAATTTCCCTACTTGAGCGTTAAAGTCACCAGCTAGAACGACTATGTCTGAGCGTTTAGCCTTTCCACCAAACTAGACAGCTTTTGGTAGAACTCATCCTTCGTTTCATCTGAACTGCAGTCAGTGGGGGCGTAGGCGGAGATTACGAAAAGGCATCGGCGAGTAGTGCAGTCCTTCCTCCTTCTTACTGATCCGTTCAGGCGGACAGCACACATTCGGCTATCTACCGGGATCCAGTCAAGCAATGTCTTTTCTGCCCTAGTACTCAAAGCTATCCCTACGCCAGCTAATCCTCGTGAACTAGCTGTGGCATCTCCTGACACCCTCAAGGTGAATTTTGCAGATTCAACCTGTTGGCCAGGTGGGGTTAGGTGAATAACCACACTTGGGTCTTGTATGCGTGTTTCTGAAACACAGCATACATCAATGGCTCGTGATGCCAGGGTCTTGGCTAGTGATGCTTGTTGTCCTATTTGGCAAAGTGTCCTAACATTAAGAGCTCCTATATGAAATTGGTGGCGCGGCTTTAAGAGGCTGTCGGTGGTGGTTTTTTGGCTTCCATCGTTTTTAGTGGACGCAGAGTGGAGAGGAAGTGGAGAGCTATCAAGTCGAGGAGTTGCATCAGTGGAAGGAAGGCAAGATGATAGAGATGAAGATGAAGACAAAGATGAGTGAGTAATAGAGAGGTTTCGGTGCATTTCGGATTGTGAGGGCGATTGTTACTTCCCGGCTGCCCACACCGTGGAAGTTGGTTGCGTGACCGCAGAGCCCAGGGGACAACTGCTTGAGGCCGGTCACACGCGGCCTGTTTTTGTTTTGTGTGTCTCAGTAGCATATTTATCACTCCTGCCCTGTGACACGGCAGCAGGAAGCGCGGTCGTTGTTAATCCGGGCCACGGCCGATCCGGCATGAAATTTTGTGATTTTGTATTGGACATGATGTTGGATTGGGTAGCTGCTTTTTGTTTAACCGCTATCCAAACAACCTGCCTGGCATGGTAGACCTCAAGAGACATAAGTCTCAGCCAGTATAGCTTGAATAGATCATTGCGGTGTTCAAGCCCGACCACCACGTCAAGGTAGCAGCTTTCCGAGCCATAGTTCCTTGTTGGTGATTCTTCCCGGCCCGGCCATCTGATCTTCAGCATAGATCCAGCGAAGACAGTTAGTTGTTGATAAAGGTTATATCTGCAATAGCCTGTTGGAAATATTCTTTGTAACCCGCCCGCCCGCCAAGTTTCTGATCCGTATAGAAAAACTGACTAACTTGACGTTTGTATTGAAAATCCGACCGAATTTTGTTGTTGATGTTGGCTGAGTGACGAAGATTTCCAGATTGATTTCAGGTTGATGAATGTGTTTCTCGCCTGCCTTCCCGATTCTCGCTCGATTTGACATCCTCGTCTGTTCCAACTACCTGTAGTTGAGACAACGCTCCCTAGATAAGTGAATGAAGTAACCTCTTTCAAAGCCCTCCCGTTGATGATGATTGACGCTGGATGTTGGTGCTGTTGTTGTTGTTGTTGTAGGTTGGTTATTTTCATCACCTCCGTCTTGTCTATGTTCACTTGGAGTCCTGTCTTCGCCGGCTTCTTCTTCGACCAGTTTGTCGGTTTTCACTTGTAAGTCCTCGATTGTGTGACATAAAACACAAAACATGATGGTATATATATATATATTACTGACGCGTTGATATTAGTAGGCAACCAGTATAGTCAACCGATACCAACACCTGATAGCCAGATCAAAATGTTTCTTTTCGGCGATTTCATTTTCAAAAGCAGCTGTACAACCACACCTAATATACAATTTTCAATACTTCGTTTGTAAGGAGTAGTTTTGTGTTTTTTACAAGTTGATCACGGATTAAGATATCATTTAGAGAACCATTGAAAACCAGCCACACGGAGTACTGGACAGCTATTTCATCTCACTAGTTTGGGAATCATCGGCAGCATGCACCCACCATAGGGAGTTCAAACCCATGACCTTCCGGTTACAAGGCGAGCTCACATATATCACTCAGTCACTGGGACAAGATTCAATGGCCAGTACATGAATTGTGACTGGTATGTAGTCACATGATGTGTGTTTTGTTTTTGACAATCTATTATATTTTGCTATGTGTATATGGATCGATATTCCATTATAACTGACAATATGCTTTTGTCTGTCCATTAACTAAATAAACAATGTATGACCTTGTTGTCACATGACATTACAACCAATCATGTTAAGACTGTCTCTATTATTGGTTCATGTGTATTAGTCATTTTCATATATACTTTTGTACTGTATTCTGGGACACACACTTTTTCGTACGCTTCATACCATTTCACTCACACACTTGTGTGACATTTATTTTCCTTGTCTGGAAAATACAAGTATCATTGTAGACCTGGTGGTCTTCTGATTTCCTTATTTCTGCGTCAGGACTATGAACTACTCGACGAGTACACAACAGTGACTCCGATAAATTCATGATTTAGAGTGACCACCAACCCTTACAGCACCCGAACGATAGTGTCATATCCCACTGTGTTTACCAGTTTAAATGTATGTATGAAAACACGTACATAGGGAGGACCCATCGGTCTCTGCAGATTAGGGCTACACAGCATATTCCAAATTGTCTGCAACAGCAAATAAAACCACCGAATTAAACATGATCCCAGGAATAGATGTCCAACATCATCTATAGCGAAGCACATTCAGTGAGGTCAAGTGTGAGGATTGAGCTCCCACCGATGAAGTTGGTTGGTGCCAGTCACCCTAAATTACGAATTGGTAGAAGTTAGGATTCATAAGCCAGTCACTCGATCAGGTCACAGTGGCTGAATGGTATACGAGCTTGCCTTGTAGCCGGAAGGTCCCAGGTTCGAACTCCCTGTGGTGGATGCGTACTGTCGATGATTCCCAAAACTAGTGGGATGAAACAGCTGCCCAACACTTTCTTCTGGTTTTCAATGGTTCTCTAACACATAGATACAATTATTATCTATTTAATTCCACATAGTAACGAAGGGAGATTAAAGGTTATAATAATTTTTAAATTGACATTAGAGTTTGAAGGTGTGAATATATATAAATTACAAGGGGCTTAGAGACAAGATTGCATAGGATTAAAAAACAGTCACAATGTATGTAAAACTAATATTTTCATAAGTGGAGGAATAATTTTAAATTGATATGAAAGTTTGAAGGTGTGTGAATATAGATTACAAAGGGCTTACAGACCAAAAATTATGCAAGATCAGAAAATAGTTGTTTTCTCTAACGACTAAAGGTGTGAATGGAATGAGCATGGGTGGGACCAAGTTGAAAGAATAATAATTTTAACACTTAAAAAAAGGGGATGAAAAAACTGAACCAAAGCAGACAAATTGAGCTAGGTCCATGGTAAATGTAGGGGTTGAACCAGTTTCTTCTGAAAACAAAGCTACGAATTTTTGATGGATATGGTGAGGGCTTCGGCAGTACAAAAAAGTCAGAAACACACTGTCAGTTGAGCTGCTGTGATAAGGTGTTTTATTATGCCGCTCTTGATCGAACCAGTGCCTTCTCTTTGCAGCCATGATGAGTAATGTTCTCCGACACATCTTGATAGGACCCGCATAGAACAACCTATGTACCTAGATATGCACGAGCAGGTGAACTGATATATGCACATTGAAGTGGTCATATTATGAAGTAAATTGAGCCTTGGTTCCAAATTAGATTACTAAGGCAGATTTAAGCTGATAGCAAAACATCTCTGGACACATAACACAAGTTCAAGTCAGGTTAGGTTCAATGCTTCAAAGAATTTAAGTATGTGACCCAACCTTGTTTTACTGAAACCAACCCGTCTCTAAGGTGTGCTTCACGATGTCAGATATCTATTTTAAAGATCATTTGTTTCAGGAATATGCTCTGTAGCCCCAACCTGCAGAGACCGATGGGTCCTCCCTATGTACGTGTGTCCACCCATACATGTAAATTGGTAAACACTATCGTTCGGATACTGTGAGGGTTTACAGGACAACATAAATCTTGCTTCCTCTATAAGTATTAAGTTTAGCTGGATGGTAAGTTCTAATAATTGCCACGCTGCGTCTTTGTTTAGTGACCAGACTTGGTTGATTACCCTTGAACGACAATGATATATAACCATCCTATTTGGGAGCTGATTGGATCGGTAAAACTCTTTGCCGTTCAGAGGTGATCAACAAGGTCTGGTCACTAAACAAAGACTCAGCTTGTCAATTAATAGAACTTACTATCCAGCTAAACTTATATATATATATATATATATATATATATATATATATATATATATATATATATATAGAGAGAGAGAGAGAGAGAGAGAGAGAAAGCAGGATTTATGCTGTCCTGTAAACCATCACAGTATCCGAACGATAGTGTCACATTCCAATGTGTTTAGCAGTTTAAATGTATGTATGAAAACACGTACATAGGGAGGACCCATCAGTCTCTGCAGATTAGGGCTACACAGCGTATTCCAGAGTGACTGCAACAGCAAATAAAACCACCGAATACACGTGATCCCGGAAACAGATATCCAACATCATCTATAGCGAAGCACATTATAGAAACGGGTCATAAGGTTGATTTCAACAATGCCTTTAAGCGCATATATAAAACAAGGTTGGATCACATACTTAAATTCATTGAAACCTAAGCCATAAAAAGACTTAAACTTGTCTTATATGTCCAAAAGTTATTTGTTATCACCTTAAACCTGCCTTGGTAATCCAATTTAGAACCAAGGACCAATTTTACTTCATAATATTTTCAACCCCTTCTTTGTATCACGCCTTTAGGTCATCTCCCTACCCCTTATTTGTGATTTTGACCTGTGCACAATCCAACCTGTATTGTAATGATACATGCCTTCTTGCCTTCCGTATAATTGTGCATGACAAATACTTGTGAGAGTGATTAGAATGTTGTCCGAAATGTGTTGCACAAATGGTACATTTACAACACACGTTTCATTCAGATAAATGACGTCTTCTTCTTGTTAATTCGTGGATGGTGACTAGCAGTGGAGTCCATCAGGATGAAAACAAAACACGTAGATCACCGAAGAGTCTCTTTTCGGTTTCCGTTTCTTGATGTGGAACTGACAAGAAGAGCTGATGGGAGCCTAAGAAGATCAATCCATAGAAAACCTACGTGGAATGGTCAAGTAACAAGCTTCTATAGCTGGGTACCCATTCAATAAAAGCGAAATTTAATTAAATCACTTGCCACCCGCATCCGACGCATCTGTAGTCCCGACGTTCTGGAAACAGAATTAGATATTCTAAGAGAAATATTCACCCAAAATGGATATCCAAAAAGATTTATCGACAAAAGTATGAAACCAATAATTCGGAAAAACGAAACTTTAGCTGCGCCTTAGAAGAAACTCTGCATGAACTTGGATTTCAAGGGAGATTTAGCAAGCGATATTCTTAAGAGAAGGATCACATCATCTCTGCAGTGGGAACCAACCCTCTTCGTGTATATCAAAAGGAAGGAAAGCAGGTTACAATTATCCAATGCTACGAACAACGCGGAACAAGAGAAGAAGGAAGAGATTTACAAACAACTGTCTGTCTGGATTCAACATAGAACTTGTCACCGAAGTGCACCAGCTCGAGTGTAGCCACGTTCCAAATAGCACACAGAGGTAGACAAGAAGATGAGTGAAGAGAATCAATACAATCTGACAAGTATAAGAGTGAAACAGAATGGGTAGTGGTAACAAAAGGAATATGAAAGATTACAGAGACTGAATACATGTGCGCTGGCCATTGACAACGATTTTGAGCCATGTCACCTATTGTCTCCAGCCATTGATTGATTCCTAGAGTCCCGAGGGCCCCAACACGGAAGTCTGCATCTCCCTACCCACCTGACTCAGTTTAACTGTCAAGGATTTCATGGATTGATGAAGCCATGTTTTTGTTTCGCCACTACTTACTCTTTTCCAACCTGCACCTATATCAGCTAGTAATGCCCGTCGAGGGAGGCGATGGTTAGGCATGCGCATCACGTGACCTAGCCATCTTAATCTATGTAACTTTATAGTCTCGTCGATTGATTTTCCCTCTTTGCCCAACACTCTACACCTGACGTCAACATTACTTACCTTATCATACCATCACCTAACGTGAGAAAGAGATCGCAGACATCTATGATCGAAAGCAGTCAACCTTTTCATGTCTTCAACGCGTATTGGCCATGTTTCAGAGCCATAGAGAAGGACGAAGCGAACTGATGAGCAGTACACACGTCTGTTGGTTGATAACCGGATGTCACGCCTACGCCAGAGATGGTGTAAGTCAGCGAAAGAAGCTCGAGCTTTTTGGATCCGTGCAGCAATTACAAACAACTACAAACAGTAATGGACAACATCGCCAATGGTAACATCAAAATCCTCATGGGCGATATGAATACCAGTCGAACTGGAAGCAGACAATAGCAGAAGAGAATTCATCATGAGTCGAGAAGCTTTCACAACCCAAGGGAACAATAATAAGATATATTAGTAAGTAGGTATATAGGGCTCAACTTACAGACTTTTGTGAACTTCCATTATTCGTCATGTATTTCGCTAATTTTTCTGCTTTTTCTCTTGCTTTCATTTCATCTTCTTCTTGTTTGTTCGATTTGTATTGAGCAATTTGAGCATTAAGCTCTTCTTGAAGTTTAGCTCTTGCCTTTTCCATAGCTTTACGATGTGCATCATTCTGTGCTGATGACTGATGTAACGTAGAATGGGTACTTTGAGAACGGAAAAATTTCCATAGGAAATAGGATATCACAAAGACAAGAAGAGCTATCAAAGCATAATTGAAATTGGCCTTTGAGGTGACTAAATTTTAGCAAAGAGTGTTTTGGCGTTGTCTACTTACTTTGTGGGACACCACCACCAATACCACCACCAGCAGCAGTGGCAGTAAACTCCTCTTCCAATTCAACCTCTGCATCCATCCCAGCTAACTGTGTGATTATCCCCCAAACAATTTGTAATAATTTGATAGGGAAAAAAAGTAATCAGTAGTAATGCGTACTGGTGAATATATACACCTAAAAAAAATTAATTAAGAGAAGGTTACAGTGTAGCTTTCGAATATGTTATGATGAATAAAATAAGAGAAGAAATTATTATTATTATTACTATTTCCTTTAATTCCTAGACGAAGAAAGCGCTTCAGTCGCGCGTCTCCATTGTGTTCGATTCTCTGACAACGTTTTCACCTGACTTCACACGTCTGCCCACATAATTTCATCTCCTCTTCACATGACCTCCTCCTGCATGTCACCCTCGCACTGATGACCAACTCGCTGCTTCCCACTCGGGTTCCACTCGAGCAATGGCTTGTCTAATAATGTCACTTGATGGGATTTTTTCTCAGAGTATGGCCAGCCAATCCACCTCCATTTCTTCCTGCTTATTTGTTGCACAATTGGTTCTGTTGGGTTGGTTTGCTCCAAGAGATCCCTGTTTGTGATCTTTTCTGGCCGGCCATCTGATCTTGAGCGAAGTATTGAGCGAAGGTAGCTGTTGATGAAGGTCTGTAGTTTGTTTGAGATGCTCTTTATGATGCGCAGTGCAAGTCTCAGATCCGCATAGTGAGTACCACTGACTTCACATTAGAGTTGAAAATCCTGATCTTATTTTTAATGCTGAGCAGTGCTGTTGACCTCCACACAGACTTGAGAGTAATCAAATCTTGTCTTGCCTTCCTGTTCCTTGCTTTGATGTCCTCGTCAGTTCCGTTTGCCTGTAGTTGAAACGATGCTTCCCAGTTGTGTTGGTAAAGGAGGTTGCTTCTTTCAGGTTCCCCCCATTTTATGCTGGCTGATTGTTGTGTTGTTGTTGCCCAGGAATCTTCATCACCTCTGTTTTATCTATGTTCACTTGAAGTCCTACCTTTAATGCTTCTTCTGCCAGCTTGTTGCTTTTCACTTGCATATCTTCCAGTTTGTGGGAAATCAGACATATATATGTTATCGGTGAAGTCCAGATCCTCCAAGTTTTTTTTTGTTTGAGTCCATTTTATGCCTGTTTCCTCGCTGGCCGCTGTCTGTCTATCTGTCGCATTATCCAATCTAATGTTATTAGGAAAATTATTGGCGATAGTAGGCAGCCAGCTTGTCTTACTCCCGTCTTTACTTCAGATGATTCCGTAAGATTCGCGTTGTGGATTACTTGGCAAAGAGAAGAAATAATACGCATTTATATCGCATATTTTAATATGAATGTTAGGCGTAGGTGCGTGCGTTGGTGACACACAGTGCTAGTGATGCTCACCTCATATGTCGTCCGGGGTTTAATCCCCGGCAACAGACGCACTCCAGAGAACCTCGCTAAGTCAGTAATAAGACAACTTGTAAAGAGGAAGAGTTGGTTAGGCATGAGGCTGGCTAGCAACCTCATCCCGAAAAAGTAATAAACACCACCTGATACCGAAAATTCCATACTTGTACCGAAAATACAGTGTGGAATCAAGCTGTAATCAAAATAAATAAAAAAAATTAAAAAAAAATAGTAGCCTGTTTAAAAATTGAGCCACTGAAAACCTCCATCAATATGTATTGCATATAACTTAACAATAATAATAACAATAATAATTTGATAGCGTTATTAGAAGACGGAGACTATCTGAAAAATGTGATGTATTAGCGCTATACATTTCGAACAATCTGATCACACATTTGCTTGTCAAGTCAATATATATAGAAAGGTTAAATTAAACAAAGTGAGAGAAAACGGAATTAAGAATAATTAACACAAACGTTTGGTAAGCCAATCATCAAATAAGGATTACCAAGGTAGGTTAAGAGTAATGACAAACTGTTTTTGAATACACAAGGGGGGGGCTTAAGTCTATGAATAGCTATAGCCTCAGAGTAAATGTGTGATCAGATTGTTCGAAATGTATAGCGCCAATACATCACATTTTTCAGATAGTCTCCGTCTTCTAATAACGCTATCAAAATTTATAAAAGGGACTAACTGTTTTAAATAATAATTTGCTTTATTCCAGAAACAGTACTAGTGATATAGCGTGGAATTTTCAGCACTTTATTTACAATATTGCATCTAATTTTATCAAACATTTAAAAAGGAGTATTTCATAAAAATAAATATAAAAAACAACAACGACAAAAAACACAAAATAGCAAAAAAAACGCGAAAAAAATATCAAGAAGTAGAAAGGAAAATAAGCAATATAATAAATAATACCTCAGTATTGGGTAATGGAAGCTATGATTATGTGTATTCGTGGTGAACGGTAACAGCTATAATCATACAAGAAGTTATGAAATGTTCTTAAGAATGTTTATAGCCGAGATGATCAGTTAATTTGATTGAAACTACACTAAACAATCATAAAATAAACATTTCAGGTTGTGTTTTTTTATTGTCAGCACTAATGCAGTGCTTGTTGTAATAGTGTGAGTAATCCTGTATAATACAAAATTTTAAGATGGTGATAGTGGCGTTCACAAACAAGATTGTCAGCTGAATAGTGCCGAACAAAAGAAAACAATCACAAAACTAATATTACATGATGGTTAATGACAGGACAATTTAGTAATACTCATAGTAATAATATAGTCGGACCCAGTAGTTACACAAAAGAAGGAATAGAATAAAGAATAAAAAAGTAAGCTAATGATAATAATTTTAAGTAGCTAAGTATGTTTAAGAAGGTGGTTCACTATAGAGTACAAATAAGAGAGTATAAGGGGAAATAACTGGGGCCAAAATTATGTTATTAACAACAAAGCAAGTCATAGGTTTCGCGCTTAACATTGTCTCTGTCACATAGGACAAGAGTCGAATATGGTATCGTTGAGTTCCTATCCTACTTGGTTGTACGAGCATACATTATTTTGTACTGATTTCAGGTTCTACCTGATGAGATAAAAGGAGAGATTTGGGAAAAGAGGCGGTGTTGGGGGTCGGAGAGTATGGTTTTATACCATTTTTCGCATGTAATCCATTGGTTTAAATCTAATAAAATAGGACTTATTTACTCTGGCGAATATTAAAAACATTTACAACTAGCTAATTCGTAAGTTTCTACTAAATATGAGGTGGGAAGGGATTATCCTAGACGGCAGCTTATCCCACGCAATACATGAGATGACCGTTCCCCTGAGTTGTGTGTCTTTGGTTCACAAAATGTACTCCTGAGATTTCTACAATGGGCATGTCACCGAATGTTGTATGCCTTTGTTCGAAGGAGACAAACAGGAACTCCAACATATAATTTATCCAAAGAACTATGCAGAAAACTGAAACACCTAACGGAATCTTGTGATCACTCCATCAACTCTGCTATTCAATTCCTAGAGAAAATCAGAGGCATCCAAATAGATGAACAAGAAATAATGGTATCCTTCAAAGTGATAGCATTATATACCTCTATCGGACAAAAACTACCAAAAGAAACCATGGAGCAATTACTTAGCAACGACGAACAACTTCCACAACAATCAAAAATGCAACACACAAGCTGAATGGAATGCATAAATCTATGCCTAACAACATACTTCCAATTCAACGGTAAAATATATGAACAAGTTAGAGGAACACCCAGGGGATCGCCCAAATCAGGTTTGATTGCAGAAGCAGTGATACAAAGACTCAAAAACATAATTCTACCAAATATCAAACACAAAATTTGGATACGTTAGGTAGATAACACACTCATAATAATCAAAAGAAACGAGTTAGATAAAACTCACAACTTAATAAACAACGTCTTCAACGACATCAAATTCACAAGAGAAGAGGAATCCGAGAGCAAAACACCATTTTTGGACAACCACAGAGGAATTAGAAACTCAAGTTTGTAGAAAATTAGCTCACACAGGCCAAATCCTGAATTACAACATCAACAATCCAATAACAAACAAAAGGAATTGCATACAAACACTATTCAAGAGGGCAAGGACTCATTGCAGCACTCCCACCTTAAGGAAAATTAAAGAAAAATACCCCATGGACGTCTTCCAAAAGAATGAATATCCACGGAATTTCATCAAAAGATATATACCCCCAAGCCAATCTATCAAACCAAAAGTCCCCAAGGAAAGCACAAAGAAAATCGCCTTACCATACATAAAGGATATCTCAGAAATCACTACAAGACTCTTCAAACCTTTAGGAATTGACGTACACAAACCAACAAAGTCGCTTCACTCCATTCTAGGTCAACCAAAAGACTCAACAGCGAACGAAGATAAAACCAACATCATCTACAAAATAAATTGTAACAACTTCGAAAAACACTACATTGGCCAAAGTGGACGTCCCCTTCGTCTTTGTATCCATGATCATAAGCTAGCTGTCAAAAGACATGACATTCACTCCCTCACATCACTACATGCAAAAACAAACGGAAATCAATTCGACTGGGACAATGTTCAATCATTAGACAGAGGAATCAACAAGAATGCTAGAGAATTTTTAGAAGCCCGCCTGGTATTCCAGTGAATCGTCAATTAATAGGCACATTGAAGTAGAACAAATTTATCAACTGATAAGAAAGAAATCTCACACACACAAAGGGTCAATGTTCAAGTCAAAGAAACAATCAGTCCCAATACACGTAGCCTAAAGCGTGTGAATCAATCACGTCCAAGGGCACTCGTCATGAGAGATGATTAATAAACTCATGGAGAAATAAATCTAAAAGCTCACTTGAATTCAAATTGAAGTATGCGCTAAAGATGTTGCCTAGTGGTGAGGGGTGATGAAAGCTTTGCAAATTAACTATCCAGCCCAGAGACCACAACCACATCAAGAAAATACAAACAGGAGTTATCATAATGGATAAGATTATATTTTGATAAATCACACACAGTGTTGTACAGTTATATTAACTGATGACCACAGTTCGAGCACAAACTATTGCTCATAATCATATCAAGTTACTCACACAACTTTGTTCTTTCATTTATATACATGTGTAGAATCGATTAGATACTGGATTAGAAATCAATGTGAGATAATGTCCATTCAGAAATAATAATAGTACGAGTGTTATTGACCCATTACAATTATATGGGAAATACGAGTGTTTTTTTTTATAGTCATAAGTTACTTGTTAGAATGCTGTGTTTGAATTGAAATAGAATTTTAAGATTATTTATTATCCTCTTCTGATTTGAGCTGCGGTAATAATATCTTCCATATCTCTGGTATTTGCATTGAGTCATTTCTGTTGCATGTGTTGGGTGTAGACTCGATGAATAAGGATGTGAATGACACTTTCACGGTGTTAAAAACAGAACATATCTCTAGCTTCCTGACACACATAAACTCACAAGTAGAGGGAATTAAATTCACATTTGAATCAGAAAATGAACTAGGAGAATTAGCTATGTTAGATTGTAAAATAAAACGAATAGAAGAAGGTAAACTACACACTAGTGTGTACAGAAAACCAACTCATTCTAATAGATATTTAGACTTTGATTCGTTTCATCCGTTAACTGTTTAGGCAGGCTTAGTTAAGTGTGTCTCACAAACCGATCAGTAGCACTAAGCAGCACAAGAAAAGACCTAAATGATCAACTGAAACAGATAGAAGAGGCTTTGGTGTTAAATAACTAACTATCCTTTAAAATTCATTAGGAAGATCAGTAAAGGCCAAAAACAAAATAAAAATAATCGTGGAACTATTAATGATAACATAAATAAGAGAGAATATAAGTCATCTACAGTTATACCATATAAAGAGGGGACATCTGAAACCCTACGTAGGATTCTTAATAAAGCAGGAATTAGGGTGGCATTTAGACCTACAAACTCACTCAGAGACAAGCTCTGTAGGTTAAAAAACCCGCTCGACCCAATTAGACAAAATAATATAATTTACCAAATACCCTGCAATGACTGTGAGTGAGGTCAACTACATAGGTCAAACTAGTAGGTCAGGGATAGTCAGATTATCAGAACATAAGAATTTAGCTAAGGTAAGAATGGTTGTTCCCGAGAAGGCAGATGAGTAATTTAGAAAAAAGCTCAGCTATTGCACTTCACGCAATAACAAACAACCACACAATAGGGTGGGATAGGGTTAAAATTCTAAAAAGTAATATAGGTAGGTGGAGAGAGAGAGAGAGAGAGTTTGATTACTGAATCCTTATTCATCGAGTCTACACCCAACACATGCAACAGACATGACTCAATGCAAACACCAGAGATATGGAAAATATTATTACCACAGGTCAAATCAGAAGAGGATAATAAATAATCCTAAAATTCTATTTGAATTCAAACACATCACAATATTCTAACAAGTAACTTATGACTATAAAAAAAAACACTCGTATTTCCCATATAATTGTAATGGGTCAATAACACTCGTACTATTATTATTTCTGAATGGACATTATCTCATATTGATTTTTAATCTAATATCTAATCGATTCTACACATGTATATAAATGAAAGAAAAAAGTTGTGTGAGTGAGTGACTTGACATGATTATGA